TGACATTTTGCTGATATCTGACTCTGTTTACTTGATTGTGCTAAGGGATAGAGCAACTGCCTCAGGATGGTTTGTGCACTGGTCTGCATAGTGAGTGGTAGGAGCATGGGATTGGGATATGATATAGGCTATAGGAGAGGTGTTCTTTTTACTCATTTCAAGGATTCAGTATGTTATATGCGTTGGGCTTTTCCTTGCATGAGTTACTGTTCACATCAGCACTTGAAGCTGACAAAATACATGCTGGACCCAAAAGACACCTCTACTGGTAGTTATCACTGTTACTGTAATCTGTCAGTTTTTCTGATAGGTGTTGACCAAAGGTACAAACCTTTCTTGAAGGGTTTTGGTCTCAACCACAGGAATGTGATTTGAACTGAAGTCTGGCTTACTGATTTTGGGTCCAGTAATAATTTTTTCAGCCAGATCTGGTCTAAATTATTTTAACTGTTTTAGAGGAGGATAGGGAGGGTGAGGGCACTTTAGAAATTTAGATTTATTTTTTTTTTTTTAGTTTGTTTTGCTTCTTTAATGCTTAGTGCCTTAATATTTAAGTGAAATTGTATTTTATCTGTTCTGTCACACAGTAACTTGGAGCTGATTTTTAATAACTGCTTATAGTGACTGGATGGTGCACCAGGAGTTCTTGAGTTTGAACACCTTTTTTGCCTTTAGAGAGGTTCCGCAATCTCGGTGATAAGGTTAGGCAGGGTATGAGGAAGCTTGCCTTGCCTGTGCTTTACGTGGGGCATTGTGGAGGTGTTTTGATAGGTAGAATCTGCCAACTTTTACTTATGATAATGTGTGCAGAACTTGGCTTTGTTTTTCTTTTTTCCTGGCGTAGGTGGTACAGGCAAAAGCCCCTTCCTGTGGCAAGTGTACCAAAGATTTCAGATAGCGGCTTGGTGTGGATAATAACCTCACAGATGCCGCAGGCTGTTGTAATGGCTGTAGTCCTTCCTTTGGTTATAGATTGTAGGGTGGGCATTTTTATTTTCTCTCTCAAAAGGGATGATTGAAGTATGCTGAAACAATGTCTCTACTGATATTCAAAATGCAGTTTAATTTTTATTTTTTTTTTTTGTAAGAAACCTGACATAGCAACTTGTTGTCCAACTGCAGTTGAACCTCCTCAGAAGTTGGGCAGTCTGTGGTTCTCCACAGTGAATGATCTGCCTTGGGAACCACTGTGTTTCAAAACACCTGGTAATCTCATGATAGATGAAACCTGCTGCTGTTTTACAGCTTATTCTGTCAAGGAGCATATGATGCTTCAAGGGAATTTTGCTGATGTCTGCTATGTCTTAGATGTATAGTTTACCCATTGTCCCTCAGATCTTAGCAAGCTGATCCACAACCAGTATGTGGATCCTTGAAGTCTTCATAATGTAAGGATTTAGTTAATCTGAAAATTTTTTGCCTGCCTGCGACTGATACCTCCCACTCCTGACCCGTGACCACCCCCTCCACTTTTTCTTTTCTTTTTTTTCGTTGTTTTTCTGTGTGTGTGTGTGTGGTTGGTGTTTGGTTTTTTTTTCCTCCACTTTTCAATCTCCAGGCCAATGCAGTGCTGATTCGGGAAGTGGATGTAGAAAAGGTCATGACATTTGAGCAGCCATATGTAAGTGCAATTAAAACATTGTGGAACGATCCTGGAATACAAGAGTGTTATGACAGGAGAAGAGAATATCAGCTTTCTGACTCAGCTAAATAGTAAGTAAAAATGATCACTGGCATGCACTGCTAGATGGTAGTGATGGTCTAACAAATAATACCTGTCCATTTTTTTTGATGAAGTCTAGAGTTTGTTTCAAAGGGCAGGAACACTGCTGTAGATTTCACTACATAGTTTGTTTAAAGTACCTTTTATGTCTTTCAATAAGGGGAATAAGTCTGACTAGTGTTTTAGACAAGCTGCACAGTCCCTGCTAGCTGTGTGTACTGGGATAAAAATCATAGGCATATGAGAGAGGCACTTTGCCTCTATCGGCCAGAAGTATCCTTAGAAAAAGTTAAGATGAAAGAGCAGTGGGAGCAGGTAACTGGTAACTTGTTTGAATCTGTCTCCAGAAAGGCAAAGAGCTTTGCTGGAGATGGAGGAAGCTATGTTTAAGTGGGGAGAGATTTAGATCTGGAAATTCCTTACCATTTGCTACTTTTCATGAGGGTATGAGATGTTCTGGTGGGTGATAAAGACAGCTGTTCACACATCTGCTTCTGGATATACCTGAGGCTACTATCTCTGCCTTATGCCATCTTTGTTAGTCCTGGCTCTTAGGCAGCAGAAGTGTTGCTCTTTGTCTTCAGGTTTGTTCTTAGGCCTACGGGTGTACATGGATGTGTAGCTTAATGGATTTATTATTAATAAAAACTAAGTCTGGTGACATAGGTCATTTATAAATAGAAAAGATGAGACTTGATTCTGAAGCATAAGCATCCACTGTATTTAAACTTTCTCTGTAGTAAAGATTGTCTTCCACACTCCTATACAGAGTTGATAAAGTTGTCCTTAATGTATCTGTTTATCCTCCAAAGTGGATGGTTGGTGAATTACTGTTCCCCAAAGATGTACCCTGTTATTTTTCCACATCACATTTTAAACAGTTCAGCTGATTTCTGACTTTCTTGTTACGAAAGACTAAACATAGTAGTGTTTAAGTCTGTATATTTATGTGCTGCAACCTAAGGTGTTTTTTTTTTTTCCATTGTGCTTCTTGTAGCTATCTTAGCGACGTGGATCGTATTGCTACCCCAGGATATCTACCGACTCAGCAAGATGTGCTACGGGTTAGAGTTCCTACAACTGGTATCATAGAGTACCCCTTTGACCTAGAGAATATTATCTTCAGGTACTGGAGGTGTATTCTTCTTGCAGCTGAACTGAGAGAGGAGTGATATGGTTTCAGGAAGGATGAGTTCTGGATTGCTTTAGAGTGTGCAGGTGCTTGGTTGGGAGGCTTGAGTGGATATATGTGCTGTGATGTTACGAAGTGTCTGCTGACAGATGCTGCTGTAGTGGGGATGGTGTAATATTTTATTCTGATTAAGGGAAAACTCCAAGCTGAAGCACTGACTGTCACGAAAAAGAACATGCTTTTGAATCAATGATGCTCAAAGTCCAGCTAACCATCTCGTAGGAACTGGTGTCCTTCCTGGGAAGGATTGCATTGCTGGCATCTGAGGCTAAAGTGGTGGCTTGTGAGGCAGCTGAGTGAACTAAGCTTAAGCCACCAAGGGGAGGAGGGGGAAGCTTGCTCTGGGTGGTCCTTGGCTTTAAATGTATTTCCCTTTAAGAATGCTTAGCTCAAGCAACTTTGACATTTATTTCTGCTTCAAAAAGAGACTGCTTTTTGTGCAGAAATACTTCCCTGTATGTGATACCTAGCATCTGCCTTCAGAGATGGTTTTCTGTGCCTACCTTGTGCTCTCAGGATGACACCAAAACTTGCTGTCTATGCTGCTACAGCAGCAGATGGTATTTGGAGGCTTAAGCCAGCAATCGAGCATGGCATAAAGGGCACAATGACATGCTTATCTATTGCAAAGCAGTTGTCTCCCTAGCTCTTTGGTACTTACTGCCTGCCTTTCTCTACCACAGTGATGACATTACAAGAGAGGAATAAAGAAGCCTGCATCTTCTCTCTTACAGTTACGGATGCACAGAAAGTTACTCTCCCAGTTCTGGTTTGCTGACCTATGAAATAGGTATAGGGTTTTAGCAAAGGTAGACTGGGTGTGTTGTGCTTCAGGCGAGTGACAAAATAATTTTAGCGTACTGTACAGGTGGGACTTAACACTGAGGAGCTCAAGTGCGTAACTGTTAAACAGCACATTCTAAGAAAAGTTTTATAACTGAAGAAAGCTCTCTGTGTGTGAGGAGTTTTGAGGCAAGCAGATGCTATAATAAAAAGTAAAAATGGTTTTGCTCATTTGGCAGAGCTGAGTTTTGAAGGACTTGTCTTTTCAGGACTACTATTTGGCAAAGCAGAGCAGAATGCAACTGAAAATGGTAGTGCTGATATATGAGATTTGAATTTGGTATCGCTTGTCTGTGGCCGTCTCTTCAGTTTGATGTATTTCTGGAACAGCATATTTTGTAAACTCGATGGTTTTGTTAGCAAGTACGTGTTATTAAATCCCCATGCTGGATTAACCTGCGTGGTAAAGAGCCGCATTCGTTCTCATTGTATGCTGGTACTTTGCATTCAGATGGAGAACTGCAGCGACTTCTGTGATACTGTATGTATTTCTCTTCCTTAGAATGGTGGATGTTGGAGGTCAAAGATCAGAGCGAAGGAAGTGGATCCATTGCTTTGAAAACGTGACTTCTATCATGTTTTTAGTAGCACTTAGTGAATATGACCAAGTTCTGGTGGAATCTGATAACGAGGTAAGCCAAAGAATGGGAACTCTGCAGGACAGTAGAAGGAAAGGAGGAATGTCTTTCTAGCTTCTTGGAGGTTGGTACCAAAGTGCTTGGTGCCAAGTTGGATTAGCAAGTATTGTTGGTTTTAGCCTTCAGTTCTTCCTATTGCAAAGGGAACACGAAGCTTAATAGGTCATGATGTCCCTGAGAATGGAATATGCACAGTGGTTTCAAATCATCTGTACTTCTCAAGTGACACTGAAATACTGTGAAATTGCTGAGTTCTGTGTGCCTTGGAAGGTACTGTGCAATGTGACAGCATGCTCTTAGAAATCACCCATTCCTCTTTTCCGCACTGAATTACTTAGGGCTGTAACTGCTCTCCTGTTAGATAGTGACTGGTCTCTTGGAAGGTGCAATACTGAATTTTTGTATTTGCTAATAGATTGACAAAATGCCATTAGGTTAGTATCAGTTATTCCTTTTTCACTAGATGAAACATGTTCACAAAGTATCATGGCGAGTCCTCTTGCATGACTGTCAAAGCATAAAATGACCTTTTGATATGAATGGCTTGCCAATTAAATGAAGTTTGAGTTCATCAGATTTTGCATTTCCTTTCCTTTTACCGGCGCAGCTTGAGCCAGAACCTTCCTGGGGCCAAAGTATTCTGTGTAAAGTATCTGAGATGCTGTATCGATACAGATCTGAGTGTGTGTGCAGGTAGCAGAAAGGCATTTTAGTGCTTGTTTGTGAAAACCAGGCTTTCTTTTTCTTATTTCAGAACCGGATGGAAGAGAGTAAAGCTCTCTTTCGAACAATTATCACTTATCCATGGTTCCAAAACTCTTCTGTCATCCTCTTTCTTAACAAGAAAGATCTATTGGAAGACAAGATCCTATATTCCCACCTTGTTGACTATTTCCCAGAGTTTGATGGTGAGTGGTTTTTGAGGAGGAACACTTTATATCTAGAGGCAAGGGTGGAGGTGGTTTGGTTAGATTTTTTTGGTTTGTTTGTTTCTAAAGAAAACTCGGATCTAGAGATGGTGAAAATGTTAATTTGAGAAGGAATACCTACAACAATGAGAAAATTTCACAAAAATGTCTTAATCCTATATAGATGACTGGAATCTGACCTAATGATCAAATAATGAACCTCTCCTAGATGAAGAATTAACTCTCCCCCCCACCCCCACCATGCACTTCGAAGTATTAAGTAATGCAAGTCTAACTTTCCTACCTGTATGCTTGTGCATATAACTGGTTTCTTGTACGTGTGACAGTTTGCTGGTATACTGGGGATTTTAATCCTCTAGTCAAGAGGTGACTTGAGTCCTTGTTTTGAGAAACTGACTGGTCAAATACCCAAGTTGTTCAAGTGATGGTGCTGAAAAATCTCAGGTAGTGTGAAATTGTTATTAGTGTGCCATCTGCAGCTGTGGAAGAATAATATCTGTGTGAAACAGAGAAATTCCCATCTGAAACAAAATTCCTTAGCCAAAATAGCATTTCAAGCTCTTCAGTTGAGTGTATTTAAAGTTGGCTGGTAACACATCTGTACAGGACTGCGAATAAATAAAAGCAGTGGAGCATACGACCAGGCAACACACTTCTTACCATGCTCTCATGTATTAACTCTGTCATTATGTGCTTTAAAAATACAAGGTAAAGGAAGAATTGCCATTTTGCAAATAGCTTTCTTCTAAAGGACTAATGAAATTGCTCCGTATTAGTTGTCCTCCCCCTTCTGGGGCTCCGTGCCCCCTGCTGTCTGAAAGCACAAGCACTCTGAAATTGTCAGTGTTGGAAAACACCACGTTTTCACAGCAGGCTGGGAACGGCTGGTGAGCTTATCGGTCAAATAGTGTGTACTTCTAATATAACTTAACAGCTGGAGATAAGGTTGCAACATCAGCAAGTGTCATATACTTTCTTTTCTTTTGTATAAGTAGGTACTGTAGCTCCTCCAGGGATGCTGCATGCCTTATGAGTGGGAGGTAGCCCATCAGACCGCCTCTCAAGAGATGGTCCTTGCCACCAGTACTCTGAAAGAAATATCAGTAGGTGACGTTTTTCTGAGGAGTTGTCAGCAATATGAAGTAAATACTGGCAAAAACTCTAGGTTTTAGCTCTTGTGCGTTGACAGACTGCAGTATTGGCTGAAGATGACCCTTGTTTGCAAAGCATACACTTGTGTCCTTCAGTGCATAAGATCCATCTGTATATTAGGAAGAAATACACATCCCATCTCCAGAGGAGAGCGTTGTGTTATGTACACCCAGCATCTGTCACTGTTATTAAGTGAACGCAGCACGTACAGCGTTATACCGAACGCTGTATTTCAAAGCACAGTCTGAAATGATGCCTTGGTGTCTGTCAAAACTCAGCCTTGGAAAAATGCCTTTCGTAGGTTTTGGTTAGATAACTGAAAAGCATAAGACACCAGCTCCTGGGACTTTTATGCAATAAATGATATTCATTTCTTCATAGCTCTGTAACCCGTAAGAAAAAAAGCTCTAGCAATTATTCTGATGGATCAAACCAGGGAATGTGCTTAGCATAAATCCATTAACTGGTTTCTCTTTCTTGCTGCAGGCCCACAGAGGGATGCACAGGCAGCCCGTGAGTTCATTCTCAAGATGTTTGTGGATTTAAATCCAGACAGCGATAAAATCATCTATTCTCACTTCACATGTGCCACAGACACAGAAAACATCCGTTTCGTGTTTGCAGCTGTCAAGGACACCATCCTGCAGCTCAACCTGAAGGAGTACAACCTGGTTTGACCTGCTCTGCTCTTGGCCCCTTGAGAGAGGCTTCATTGTGAAGAAAAGACAAAAAAAGAAATTTTAAATATGACAGGAAAAAAAGTTTTAATTTCTGATGATGTAATGATTGCAAATTGTCTGATCTGTGGAGTGGCAAGTGCTCAGTGTTATCCTGGAGTCTCATGTCTCTGTCCACAGAGTAGTTGATTTCATATTTTTAACAAATTGCTTTTATTTCACAGTTAATGGGGATATGCCTCATTTCTTCAGCACCTTGCTTACTTCTTAATTTTTGCCAAACAGCTAAGGCAGTCTCATCTTGAGCTTTCCTTTGTTGCTTTTGGTATATATAGAAAAGAAACCATCAACTTTCCAGCTGAGATTGTGAATTTGCTGGACTGTGGGAGTGCAGAATGCTACTGGTCCCTTTGCCTTGTGCTATAGGGTGCCTCTGGTGTAATTTGCTAATCCTGCTTGCTTCCCCTCCCCCCCGTTTCTTTCCCTTCGCTTCCCCAGGACATGCTCCATGGTTCACTGTGATGAAATGTTGGGGAGGAACGATTGCTCTCCAACTATTGTGCAAAAAAAGAAAAAGGCAAAACAAACAAAAAAAAGCCATCACTTTTCCATTCTTTATATGTTCTAGTTCCGAGTTATTTTTTCTTATCAATTATAAAAGGTATGGAGACTGTGATTTTTTTTTTTTTTTTTAAATTATTGATGTTCTATATAGTTTGCTACATGTTGCTGTATTTTGTTCATGGATTACAAATGATGGAAGCTCTTGGAGCAATAGCTGCTGAGCCTGGGGAAGTGCCTGACTGTAATTGTTCTTTTATTTTATTTTGTTTTTATTTTTTCACACACATACACACATTCCCCCCGCCCCCGCAAGCGCATGCGCGCACACAAGGCTCAATTTGCAGAGAGAAACTACGTTTGGTTGAATAGAGTATATGACATCAAGTGAGCAACTTCTCTATGCAGCAGATATCAAAAGCACACTGAGTAATTGTGGCATTTAAACATCAGACTTTGACTGGATTGAAAATCTTAGTCTTGTGCCACTCTCTAGTTCTTTTCTTGCTGCTAGTAGCAAACAAGCCTTGTTTATTGCATTTTGTGCCAGTGTCTTGAATGACTTTGTAAGAATTCCTTGGTCCTGTCCAGCTTGCAGATTTTTAGAAAGGACCAGAGTTGGTGGGCAACAAACTTTGGGACATAGGTAGGATTCTTACTTGCAAAGATTGAGGAGAGCTCTTGGAGGGAGTGGCAATTCACACCCTCTCCTGTTTGTGCATTCCCCTGAGGCACATGCTGCTTTGTTTCTCTTTAGAGGAGTATGGATCCTCTTTGGAAGACTTGCTCCAGGGTGCATGTGATAATCAAGTTACAGTAGTCATGGCTGGAGCATGTGGCTGCTATGGAATCCAGAAAGCCCTGCTGTGGTTGCACTTTTGTTTAGCAGGAGAGCAGAGGCAGAGACAGTACAGTTCGCTGGTGCAGGTGGAAGGTACAGTGGAAGTAGTTCTGGATTCTAGATGCTAAATGAAACTCCACTAAGCAGAAGGATGTGAAGTCTTTGCACATTAGGGAGCTTTTTCCAGGAGCTGAGGCAACTGAACAAATGTGCTGAAGACCTGTTGCTGGCCTGGAGGATAACTGCAGTGGCAAGGCAAGGAGCGAGTAGGAAACAGGGAAACCTGACCCACCTCTGGATATATGTCATTTAGCCATCACTAATGCTTCTGTTTCAATTCCAACAAGTAGCATTGGGTCTGAATTCTCTGAATCAATCAGATTGCCCCCTTGAAGGCTAGCAGGCTACCAGTAAAGACTAAATGAGCTGCAGTGTTGAGGGGGGCTGTTGATATTTTGTCTCTTTTGTAGACAGAGCACTATATCAGTGTTTTGCACCACATGTAAGAGTAAACTGTCTGAGATACTTCAGATGCTTTGATCTAGAACACTAAAATATGGTGGGACATAATTTTGAGTAATTCTGTTTATAGGTCCCTCTGGTTTTCCAGAATAGCTGAGGGAAGCCTCTGTATGTGTCGGAGCACTACAGAAGAAAGCAAGCTCTACTAAGAGTGATCAGAGAGCTCAAGCTGAAAAAGTAGCCATGGGACCAACAGTTGAAGAGCCAGTCTGGCTGAGTGGTGATGCTGAGGTAAACACAGCATCTCTTTAGACTAGCCATGCTCTGGACTGCATTTAACACTTGTGAGGAATGAGAGGGATTCCTTTGTGTCAGACAGCTTTGCATCAATTTTACTGCTTTTTTTGTCTTTATGCCAAAATGTTCCATTTTGTAGAAACTGTCCTATAAAGAGGAATTTATAATCATCTTCGTGTATTCTAACTGCTGTTCATCTGAAGCAGATGGCAGCACCAAGCCTCTTCCGCTTTTGCGATCCTCTTGTAAATGGTTCGCACTACAACTATTGCCAGCAACGAACCTGGCACTGAGATACACAGGTTCTTGGAAATAACTTCCCAGAAGTTTTTTTTCCAAGGTGAATGATGGTGGTACTTCCACTTGAATCAGAAACTTTGCTTTGTTTTGTATCCTCCCCTTCAAGAGCTGCTGCCCTGGCATAGGAGGAGGGATCTTGGCTTCTGGCTCCTGCGGAGTGAATCTGCATTGTCATGGGGAGCTGTGGGAAGCTATGGGCACAAGGGTTTAGGCATGTGCCGTACCTTGCTGAGCAACTGCTTGGTGTAGCTGGTGGCCTGGTGGCTGACTTGGTGTGATGATTCTTGCAAAGGGAAGGGGAGAACGTTGTGCGATGGCTGTCTCGTGCAATCTCGTTCTGAATTAGGGGAGGAATGGGTCAGACTTGTACACATAATCTGGAGTTGTCTGTGGACTGTATTACGTGAGAAGATATGTGTGCTTTTCTTAGCAAGCAGTAGCTTGTGTGCCTCCAGCTTGGCCAGTGAAGCATTCCCGCAGAACTAGTTCATGTCTCTGTTGGCTGGCCCTTTGGCAAATATCTGCCCTAGCAAAAGTGCCAAACCTTAAACCAAATTTGCCTATATCATCTTTTCTGAAAATGAGGCCAGTCAGAATTTTCTGCAGGTTGACACAACAGATTGACCTTCAGAAAAGAGGTGGAATTGGGTTCTTGTAGAGAATCTAGAGTTTTGAGTCCGAGGAAGTGGTCTCTTGGCTAACCTCTGCTCCTTGTGCACTTTTTATCTTTGTTCTGCTGAAGAAGCCAACATATTTTGAACCAGTTTGAAACTTGAAGTCAGTGAGGAGAGGACCATCCCATTTCTTAGCACCCTTCTGTGTGGATTGGCTACCTGCTGAGCAACAGCCCCTTCCTGCTTCAGCGTGTCAGATAGTGCCTGCCCTTTCTGCCTGTCTCCCCTTCTTCTGGAGTTGGATTCTTTGGTCTCTTGTTGTTGCTTCCTCGCAATGTTGGCCTTGCATTCAGCTATGGTTTTTCTTCATGTGTTTTATTGTTTTGTTTTTTTTTTAAAAGTACTTCCAGAGTGTGCTGACCATTGTATTGTACTGTACAGAGGTTAGAGTCCAGCAGAGAATAAAGTGTGTTATGCAGCACCCTTATAAGAGTATGGTTTGTGCCAATGCCCTTCTTTAGTAGTGCCGGAGACTCTTTACAAGTGCCAATGTGGTGGAAATTATTTGGTTATACTTGTATATTATAGGATCCTGATTTAAGACAATTTAAACATTATCCTATTTAAAAAAGATACTATATAAAATGCTGTTTTTAAACCTTGTCATTTGCAATGCATGTATTGTTGTGCGTGTTGGGGTGGGGGGAGGGACAGAGGGTAGGGTAAAGGAGTTTCTGAATAAGATGCCCAGTGTCAGGATCTATTCAGGCTCCAAACTGTCTCATTCCAGTCCAGGAGTGTGATTGTTTCTTGGAATGATCCCACTATGACTGCTGGGCAACAACCCTTATTACAGAAATATCTGATGGAAATTGATTTTCATATCTTTCTCCTGAAATAAATTCTCTGTTTGAAATTGGAATAAATTTTGTTCCTAAAAGCCGTGGTGGTCATGCATGCATTTCTTCGCTCCTGTCCCTCCTCTCTCCCTCCTTCTGGCTGGCTGAACAACTTCTGTACCCTGTGGGACTTGCGTCTGATTGAAGCACACTTTGCCCTCCTAGCTAGCAATGTTGTCCCTGCTCAGAAAATCAGGACTCTGAGGCATAGAAATAAAGTGTGTTTTGGTAAATATAAGGTATAATATACAATAACTGTATATAACATACTGTACAAATGATTCTGAACTCAAGTGTGAACAGTGGTTGACTAGACTTCTAAGATGTAGGGATGCAATGGTGGCACCTTGACTTAAAATTCTATGGGATTTTGCAGTAGAACTGCTAAGTGAAGTTGTCAGTGTTTGCTGCTGCCTCTTGTAGTGTCAGCCCATTTTATACATTGCCAGCAGCAGAAATGTTGATAGGACCAGACCTGCTTCTAATCTAGTTTGTTAGCAACATGGACTGAAATATGAAAACACTGCTTAAATTTATCCCTTTAGGAGTCCAGGATTGAAAAAGCTTTCACAGAGGGGTATCCTGGGACAGAGTTCCCAGAATTTAATTCTCCTTCCGTAGGATCATTCTCCAGGAATTTCAGATTACATCAGCTGGGAATGGGTAGAGATGTCTAACTTGATCTGTGTAAAGTTTCATGTATTTTCAGGAAACTGCAACCAAGGATGTTCTGCTCCTTTCTGTGTCGTTTAATGCGCAGGTGAGGTTGCAGGTACTGGACAGCCTGAGACGCTGTGTTTCGTCTTGAACCATCGCTCTAATCTGGTTGGCCATAATACTGGAAGGTATTTGTGTCCTTGCTGTTTCCTAATTAAGCGTGAGCGTATATAGCTTTTCTCAGTAGCCCTGTGTTCTCATCAGCTGGAAAGCATGAAATAGCTGAAAGAACTGTGTTTGGTTTGTTGCTTTTCTCCTTCAGCTCCATGTGGATCGTGTGTTGTGCCATTCTTGGCAAAGAGAGTATAACATGCTCCATTTAATAAAGCATAGTGACAGGTTCAGACTCTTCAAGGAAGAAGGTGAAGTCTTAAAACTAATGCTCAGTATTCCTAACTGACTGTGAGAGAGCTCTGTGTTTTGACTTTTTGCAACTTCCAGCCATGACACATGCAAAGTGCCCACGCTTGGTGCGGATCTGTGGCACGGGTGCTGTCTCTGAAGCATTGCAGCTTGTTCAGCGTATACACAGGAG